GATGTGATTAGTAAATGAATTAAGGGAAATGCCAAAATTATTAGAGTTTTTAAAAATCAGGGGAATCTGATTCCATGCTCTCCCCCCTCCCCCCACCACCATCTTATTTTGTTTTGTTACTCAGCACAGGTATTAGAAAGCTTTGGAGAGTAGCCAGATTTCCTCACGTAACTCTTCCTATTTCTTCAAGTTTACATGGGCTCCAGGAAGTCAAGGTTCCATTTAAAGCTGAAGGGCTCAGAGTTCCTAGAGTTGCTGGTTGTTTTTGCTGCTAGTTGCAATCAAGTCAATTCTGACTCATGGCCACCCCATGTGTGCAGAGTAGAGCTGCACTCTCATAGAGTTTTTAGGGCTGTGACCTTTTGGAAGCAGATCGCTAGGCCTGTCTTCTGAGGCTCCTTAGGTGGGTTCGACTTGCCAACCTTTCAGCTAGTAATCCAGGACTTAATCTTTTCCAACACCCAGGGACTCATCTGTAGCAGATTACCGACATGGAAACATGAATTAATTACAGGATTTAGTTTGGAACCTAGGATTTCTAATTCTCAGTTCCAGAGTTTGTTTCATTCCATCAGGCCAAGTTCCTAGGAATCCAAGCTTCTGTTCCTACTCTATACCTGAGAGCTAAGAGCCCACAAGGCTGTTTCCTACTTTATCTTTATGTCTAGAGGGTACTTACACAAATAGCCAGTGGTCATTCTTCAGGCCCTCCCCCATCACTGGCCTTCTTGCCTCTTGATTCTCTCCTTTTTCAATCTCCTCAGCTCTCATAGCTAGTCAGTACACACTATCCTCATCATCAGCTCCTCTCTGACTTGGTCTTGGCATTGACTGTCTCTCACATTAACCACTGAAACAGCCTCATGTGGGTCTCACTACCTCCCGTTTCTCCTTGTGTAAATCTATCCTTCACAACGCATCAGTTTAATCCTCCTATAGCACTGACTGCATCCTGTCAGACAATACATATAGAAAACACTGAATAAGCCTCTCTGCAGGATAAATCCAAATATCCTTATCTTCAAACTCAATGCCTAATATGATCTGACCTCCACTTATATTTACAGTTCTATTTTGCATCAACTCAGATATTTTTCTCTTCCATGACTTGTCTCTCCTAATTCTCTTCCTCTTTCATTATCTCATGAGAGACTTCTCTGGTTTTTAAAAATTATAGTAATTTTACATTTCCCTTAATTCATTTACTAATCACATCCCAGACATGCATGGAACACACAACACAGTGCTTCTCAGGGGAATACATCTTAGGGACAATGGGAACTGATTGCACCTATAAATTTGATGTATTTGTCTGAACTGTAAGTTTTATTTTAAAAGTAGTTCAGTGTTGGTGTTTAAGGCTTTATGACTCATTTTGTTCCCATAATGTTCTTCCTTGAATTACACATATATGCATACATGTCTCTTTCCATTATTACATTACACGCTCATTTTGAGAAAGTATCATAGCTTATGCATGGGTATATCTCCTGTAATGGTCAGTAGAGTTTTTATCCATCCTAAATAAATATATATTGAAAAACCATTGGTGACGTGGTGGGCAAGTCTGAATGGGAAACTGGGAAGTGAACATTCTTCGACACCAAAAATCAGAGCTGGAGCATTTGTAACCTAGTGAACAAAATGAGTGATGAGATTACACCAGAACTGGGAAATACTTTACTCAATTCTGGGACCCAGGGAGGCAGCAGAGTTGAATGGAAAGAGCCATGTTTGGGCTATAGGACTTATTATTTCTCAGTCCCTCTCTCCTTCAATTATCAGTTAAAAGTTGGGTGCGGGGAGGATGGTGATAAAGGGAGGTCAGTGAACTCACTAGAGGGTGCAGAGTCAAAGAGAAAATCACTCTCCATCCACATCCTCCCCCCAATTTATCTCAGGGGTGAAGTCAGCATTCACCATACAGAAAGGCATGCCTAAAAGGGTAGAAGAAACCCTTAAAATGTCAGTAGCATGGTGTGAGCAGAAAAGAGGGAAAGGTTCTGTTTTGCTGAGTCTGACCATTGTGAGAGGTCATACACTGGTGAATTCTACACGAGCCTCAGGTCTTCAAGCCTTTTTACTGCTGGGAACCACCTTCTACTGCTTCTTTGCTGGCTCCCTGCATTTATTCTCATGGGCCAGTACATGAGGGACATGAGTTCACTCCAAGCGAACAGATGGAATCACTGCTAGTTGTCATTCCCTATGCTTGAGGCACTTTCAGGACATCAACTGGTCATAAATTAAAGCTTAGCATCATGCAGGACCTCTACTGCCCTCTCTCCCTGGAAGCAGACACAATGCCAGGTTGATAGAGTCTCCCTGGGAGCAGTGGGTGAAGCAGGATTGGATTTGCATCTGGGGATTCACCCTACAAGGCCTGAGTTAGCAAAGACCAGGTCTGTGCCATGAGCCTCCTCTTCTGCACCTAGGACTGCTGGGAGGCAGTATTCCCTCTTCCCCATAGACAACTTTCATCCAATACTAATTAGCCCTTAGAGACCAGTTTTTTTTGCAAGACAATTAAAACAACTTGGGGAGAAACGTTTTACCTTTAGCTTACTGAATGTTGAAATAGAGGCTCATCTCTCTTCCCAGCACAGCTCCCCAGACACTGTTCTCCCCAGAAAGAGCAGGGACTTCACCATTTCATGGCCTTTCAATGTATTTTTCAAGTTCCATAGAATCACCTCTGTCTTAGTTATCTAGTGCTGCTATAACAGAAATACCACAAATGGGTGGCTTTAACAAACAGAAATTTATTTTCTCACAATTTAGGAGGCTAGAAGTCCAAATTCAGAGCACTGGCCCTAGGGGAAGGCTTTCTGTCTGTGTTGACTCTGGAGAAAGGTCCTTGACTCTTCAGCTTCTGCTTCCTGGTTCCTTGGAGACCTCCAAGTGTCTTGGCATCTATCTTACCCCATCTCTGCTCTGCTAGCTTGTTTAATCTCTTTTATATCTCAAAAGAGATTGACTCAAATTATACTCTACACAATTCTGTCTCAACACAACAAAGATAACCGATTCCCAAATGGGATTATAACCACAAGCATAGAGATTAGGATTTACAACACGTATTTTTGGGGTACACAGTTCAGTCCACAACAACCTCCCTCCAACATGTCCTTCAAGTGTCTACTTCAAGGCCAAGCCTGTCAGAAAGCCTTCTGGGAGAGATCAGTACTATCTCTGCTATGAGCTGAAGAAGCCCTTCCTGCCACTTACTGGCTATTGGAACCATGTTGTTGTGTGCTGTTGAGTCGATTCTGACTCATAGCGAACCTACAGGACACAGTAGAACTGCCAAATAGGGTTTCCTAGGCTGAAATCTTTTTAGGAACAGATCACCAGGTCTTTTCTCCCACCCAGCAGCTGAGAGTAGGTCACCAGGTCTTTTCTCCCACTCATCGGCTAGTAGGTTCGAACAACCAACCTTTCAGGATTAGCAGCTGAGTGCTTAACCATTATGCCACCAGGGCTCCTATTCGCAACCTTGTAGAGACTGTTATTTTCCTGCTTGTAGTATCTTATTGCTCCCTGTCTTAAGGGCAGAAACTAAGCTTTCTCTGTACTTTATCACTCGCAATGTCAATCAGTTTTAGCAGGTCGCTTTATTCTGGGCATTGACCTTTGAATTGCCACATGAGTACTGAAAGCCGGTTTTGTCTAATTGGTGAACTCTGATTCCTAATAATCTGATTATTTCAATAAACTTTCCATGTGTGAGTGAACTCATTTTCAAAACAGGCCATCTTTTATTTGCTCTAAACTGCAGGCTTAACATCTTGCTGGTCAAAAAGTACTGGTCCAGGCTCCTTGAAGAAATGGCTGATTCTAGGCCTAGGGCAGGGAAAATACAAGATGAGCCTGCAGTATCTGGTAGCATAAGAAAGTCCTAAAAAAAGAGTGGATGTGAGCATGTCAAAAGGACACAGGAGTCAACCTGAAAGAGGTCCCAATGGCCAAAGCTGGAACAATCTGAGCAGCAAATAAAGTAGTATTAGATTATAACCCAAAATATAAAATAAAGTAGTACTGGATTATAACCCAGAGTATAAAATAAAATTGAAAGAGCCCTGGTGGTGCAGTGGTTAAGTGCTCGGCTGTTAAACAAAAGGCCGGTAGTTAGAACCCATCAGCCACTCTGCAGGAGAAAGATTTGGCAGTCTGCTTCTGCAAAGATTTACAGCCTTGGAAACCCTATATAGGGTTGCTATGAGTCAGAACCCACTGGATGGCAATAGGTTTGTTTTTTTCTGGCTTATAAAATATACATGATATACATACTAATAAAAATAAATGATTGGATACACAAATAAA